AAAACGAGGCCAGCGAGGCGAGGCGATCCAGAAGAAAAATGGCGAGGAGGCGACGCGGAAGAGAGAAGGAAGAGGGGTAGAAATGGGGGAGGAGTATATGATCCTCAAGTCTCGATGCTTGTGATCCCTGGCCGCCGACGAGTCTGGAAGAGTATCGATGTCGAATTCCTGACTACCCGGATCGCCTGAGCTCTACTGGGAGAACTCACTCGAGAGGGCAAATATCGAGGGGGAAGAAGCAGAACATTGGACGATGAGGGAAACAGCGAGAAACAGATGCAACAGGGAACAGCCGAGGTGATAGGGGTCTTCAAACGCAATGTCACCATGAGGAACGCCACCTGAGCCTCGCGTCATCCGAAAACAATAGCGCCGATTTTTTGGGCTCTCTTATTCCTCCCTCGAGCCTGCTGCTCTCCGACTTGTGGAGAGAAGGCGATACGAAGGCTAGGGCGAGTAGCCGGGCGAAGGGCAGGTAAGCTCGGACGAAAACGAGCAGATGTCATGTCTTTCGTCTCCCACGTATCCGTGACGGCGCTCGGCAAACAAGGTGCGCCAACCGCAACGGAGAAACGAAGCTCTTCTCCATGGCTATCACCAAGCGTGTTTCCCCTTTTTTCGTTCAGCAATACGTAACCCTCGGTACACTGGATCTCTGATGCTAGTCGGGCTTTTTTTCTTCAGTTAGCTCTGCGTGGAGGAAAACTCATCACAACGACAATCCGACGCGGCGCGGCTGTCCCGTAAGGAGCTCATGAAAGAATTGAGATGAGAAACTGATCCGATCGTGGAAATGGCGCAGTATCATTCATTGTCCTGCAGCAGATTTTCCCTCATCCACCGGATTCGTGTGCATTACCTCATTTGGGACTCTCATCCGACGATCCGAAAAGGGGCAGAAAACACGATTCTCGTTGCCCTGGCGGTGTTCTGCATGAAATGGGTCTGAGACGATTCTCGGCGGTCATAGAATCTACTCTGAGCTTATGCTAAGTCCTGATTCCTGATTCTCAGTCCTAAGATGGACGACTCTGATAACGATCCGGCCAGGATACACGGCTAAGGGACGAAACATTCCGAATGAATGATAGAATCTTTATGTCATACTGAGCAGCGAAGCAGCGCAGGCCTGAAGTCGTGCGGGGCCGTGGGTGGCGAATGACAGAGCGTAGTCGATTCCTCTCCCACTGGTCAATCCCAGTAGGAAGGTTTCAGGCAGCGCGCAGATAAACTGTGGTAGCCTACCTGAGTTAGACTTCCGGTATCCGTGAAAACCTCTGTTCGGTCAGCGTTGGGCTCTGCTGGCGTTTCGTCCCCCTCAGGCCACTTCAGTAGGCCCGGTTCGTGTGGAGGGGATTGAGTCATTTTCGGAACCCCGTCGATCGACTCATCGAACCCGAGATCGATGGTTAGTGGGAGCCAAGTCCAAATCTCGATCCATCCCGGTTTGGTCCCCTGAAACTCGTTCGCTCCACCACCTCTGCAGAGCTTCCCATATTTGTGCACGGATGTCATGAGCGGATCAAAGCGGGTCGAGCTTTGTTCTGGGCAAATATTTACCAAATCTGGAGCTGTGGACACATTGGTAAACTCGCTCGTTTGAGCCGCCGCCACCGCAATTGCGGGAAATCGTAGCGCGCGATCAGAGTAATAAACCGAATTCAGGAGTCGTTCCACGCATTTTCGATCCTAATCGCTGGCTTTCTCCAAAGTTCTCGGGGATCAGAGCTCCGGAGACTTGGAACCTCATCGAGAGACGTGCTCCGAATTCGGGCCTGATAAGCCCCGGGGCGAAACGATATGAGTCGTCGATTGCAATCAGTGCCTTTGTGAGAAAATTCCCTGGACGGCATATCGACATTGATGTCGGACACATGTTGTCGATTGTCGACGGGGATCGGGGGAGCTGAACGAGCCGTCGCGTCGATCAAATGTTTTAGAGCTTGATGCTCCGTCAAGAGCAACGATTCTTTCTCATTGAGCTTACGGTGTCGACAGGTCAAGAACGAAAGCCACCAATTCCTTCGATGATTAGACTAATGACAGCTTCTTTGTCCACTTCAGATCCACTTCAGTCCATCTGAGGGAAACATGAGTGTACGGCAAACATAATCTATTGAGGTGAGTCGATTCCACCGGGAGATGTGAGGAATTCGGAAGTGGACTAGCTCCGAGCTCGCAGGCCGGATGAGCGATTCCTGAGAGATGAAACGGAAACAGAACGCGTGGGGGAATGCTATCAGTTATCCAGAACATGAGCAACCATGTCACCAAACGTTCCGGACTGGAAACGAAGAAAAATACTCACGGAGCTCAGGGATCTCCTCTTCATGCCGCTATTTTTCGCCTACATGGGAAAGTCAAAATCCCGTCTTTGGGTAGGATCCCAGTTCCCGTCCCCGTTTCCCGTCTTCGTGAGACTCACGGCCGAATCCCTCGGAGAGCTCTCCGCTCCCCAGTTCTATCCGATGACCCAATGCTCAAACGGGAGGGTGTTCCCTAGGTGTCACGGAATTGAAACTCATGTAGATTAATCACTAGGTTCGGAACTAACATACCGGGACCGTTTCCATTGGTGTGATCATATAAGTGGATCTGTTTCACCCATGCTAATTAGTGTATATGCGCTTCGTTACCCAAGTACGGACAAACACTATCGGACTTCGCCAGCGCCTGTAACTCGACTCCTGACCAGCACGCAGCGCGCTAATGAAAAAATTCGGGCCAGCCCGCTCTCTGCCGAATACATTAATGACCGAGCGGCAAAACCGCGCCGAGTCCTTACTTTTCCAGCCGGATGGCTCCCGTTCGTTAAAGCGATGCCATTCGAAGTTTTGCCTAAAAACAGTAAAATGTGTGGTCAGTTGAGATATTGGAAGAGCTGCGCTCCTTCCTTCCAGTCCTGAATTTTTCGGAACACTCGCTGGTCGCTTCAAAAACCAAACTTACCTGCTTATCGAATTCGAGATAAGCATTACCAGAGGCGTTTCGTCGTTTGAGGGCAATCCCCCCTGAGCCATTCAGTTTGCTTCGATTGGCTCTGAGTGAACGGAGTTCGGGAAAACGAGATGAACTACTTCATTTGAATTGTTTGGAAGCGACTGTCAACGCTTGTGCTCACATCAAAGCAAGCGTGCTCTTAAATCGCTCACATCTTCGCAATCAAACAGTCGGGCGGTCGGACAGTCAGACGTCTCTAGACAACCGATTTCATTGTTTCATCTGGCGCGGGGAAAAGCACGTCGACTTCATTCTTGTCCTCGACAATGAATTCTGGCCTCGTTCCAAAACCGTGGCTTGATCGCTCATGCTGGTCGGATGGTTATTTATCCGCCTATCCTAGGGGAAATTCTCAGAGCCACACAATGTAGTGCTCCATCGATGGAAATCGATCATCCCTTTGCGGAAATTAGTTCGGCCGAACATTGTCTCCACCAAGGTTCCTTGGGGGTCCCCGTTCTACATATATCATGCCGAATATTTCCCGGACGACCTTCTGCCTCGAGCCTCTAGCGATTGTACCCAGAGTCTCCCGTGGACGATGCCGTCTTTCCGATCGCGGACTTTAGGTCCATTCCTGGCGCAGATCATTTGGATAGCCTCTGGGCTTCATTTTAAAAAAAATCCCCTGGCTAGAACTTTTGACGGGTTCGGATCTAACTCTTCACATTGGGAATCTTGGAAGATTAAGGGGGACGAGCATGGACCGGCACAAGCGACTGCCATCTCTGTAAATGGGGCGCCGGAATCCTCATGAAATCCGCTTACAATCTTTACCCAGCCCGGAATCCCTCGACGGATCACGCGCCATTCCCGTAACTTCTATGTTTTCCATTTGGCAAGAACCAGGATGAGTCCCCCTGGCAATAATTAGGATCCAGTCTTCCCATCGCGAGTTCTCGTCTGTTCGAATCTCTCGCCGTCTTCTCGGGAACGCAGGGATCGGAACTTTCCGAGGTTCACTGAATCTTCGCGAATGCTTTCGCGACTTCAAAGAGTGAGGGCTAAACTGAAAATCCGAAGTAGAATCGTTCTCAACATGTCAGTAGTAATTTATGTGAATACTTACAATATTACGTGGATCGAACGGATGTGACGTGCTTGACGGGGCTCCTGACGAGCAAATATTTTGAGGACTGTCTTTACCTCCGCGTCGGCATAAGACTCTTCCGGATTTCCCGACGGAGCGAGTAACTCACCACGCGCTGCTATTCGAACAATGAGTTCGCCGGAGCCGTTCGAACGCATACAATACGTCGGATTATTATTGAAGCCAGGTGCGAGGCTCCTGGGGGGCCGAAATCTCCTGTGTGCGTATGAAAATTATCCGAAAGCTCCAGAATCAGTGCTGGAAAGCCGCGGAATTCCGCTTTCGGAGCTCGGACCTTATTGCTTCCGCTGGAACTGTTAAGCACGAAGTTGAGCCGGTAATGCACTCCATTCCTCCGCGTCACGGAACTGTTGCGCGCGAGACTCGTCGCAGTCTCTGAGCAAGTCATTCCGGGAGAGCTGATTGTGCCGACTTTTTTTGCCGAGCACCGATGGGGATTCATTTGCACGTCCGCAAAATGTTCATCAAACATCCGTCCCCTTGTTGGACAAAGTGTTTCAACAGACATGCCGGCCGTCGAGCCTGGATCATTATCTTTCGGCGGCGGCAGCGAATCAATACTCCCAGACTTGTACAAAATATATTTACATGAATTCGTGGCGTGATCTGAATTCCTCCGTGAGCAGCCCGTGAGGTGCTTTGACCGGTATCCAGCCAATCAACGGAATTCTACTGGCGGAGTGGCTGCGCGGATGGACCCCAGACTGCAACGACTCGAGTCCGAAAGACAGCACTCGACATGAACGAATACGCGCCGACGATCTAATTCGATTGTCTCGTTTTCGCTTTCAGGTGAATTCCGGCCTCGAGGAGCAACATGGAAGTCAACTGCACTGGACTCTCGAATACCACCACGGTATGTGGCGGTCAGGCGGCCGAGGCGGACTTCCTGCTGCAGACAGTGCGGTTCGTGTTCCAACAAGTGTTGGTGCCATGCGTGGCGGTTTTCGGAATCGTCTTCAATTCGCTGACGATGATCATCATGACTCGGAGGAGGATGCGCAGCTCGACGAACAACTACTTGGCTGCGTTGGCGACGGCCGACTGCCTCTATCTCATCTGCACGATTTTGCTCAGCCTGCAGCACCAGTTCGCCGGCAGAGATCCGACGTACAACCTGTACCGGCGATTCAAACCGCTGATGCTCCTGCTCGTGGATACGTCTCAGAACACTTCCGTATGGCTCACCGTAACGTTCACGATCGAACGATACATTGCCGTATGTCATCCGATGCGCGGCAAAGTCCTGTGCACCGAGTCGCGTTCGAGGAAAGTCATACTCGTCGTCCTGCTCTACACGACCGTACTGACCCTTCCGACGTATTTCGAGTACAAGATTAGCGAGGAGCTCAACGACCGAAACGAGACCATCGCCGTCGTGGAGGTCTCGGATCTCGGAGCCGATTATCTGTACCAGACGGTCTACTATTGGCTGACGGTTGTCATGAACACGATCCTGCCGTTGCTGATTCTGATCGTGTTCAACTCGTTCCTGATCCGCTCGGTGCACCTATCCCGACGCCAACGGAAGACCATGACTCTGAGACAGCGTCCCGACTCGGCCAGAGATCCGAGCAGTCAGGAGAACAAGATCACGGTGATGTTGATAGCCGTCGTGGTACTGTTCCTGCTGTGCCAGCTGCCGCAAGCGGGACTTCTCATTTACTCGATCGTTGACGACGAATCGACGTACACCCGCCTCTTGGGAAACGTGTTCAATTTCCTCGTATGCGTGAATGCGTCCGGGAATTTCGTTCTTTACTGTCTGCTGAGCAACAAGTACCGTCGAACGTTCTTCAACATGTTCTTCCCCTGCTGTCAGACCTACATCAACCCGCTGCTTCATTCGGTCTACGGCCAGTATCATAACAGCACGACGGACGACAGTCCCGGAGCGAATCGGAGACTCAGCAGTTGCCGTCTCGCGCGAAGCAGTTCAGGGGGCACTGTGACAGATGGCGCCGCGAACCACCTGCTCTCCGTTCCGGGTCGACCACCTGCTTTGAGCAATAACAATGTGAGCGGACAGCAGCAGCAGCAACAACAGCAGCAGCAGCAGCAAAATCAAACTCAACAGCAGCAGCAGCAGCAACATCGGAACGGACGTCCCATGAACAGAGGCGTATCGCTTCCGGAAAGTTCCTTTTGGACGAGAATTCGTTTGGGTTCTCGATTGAAAAATCGATCGACTAAATCAGTTCGGGACCAGAAACGGAACGGCGGTCAAAGTGGAGGCAACAATAAAGAGTGCGTCGTCATTGTGACCGATGCTCCTCCGGACGAGAATCGAAAAGAGAATCCTGAGGTCTAGTTTTTTTCCCTAGAAAAGCCGTCACGTCCGCAGTCTGAATGTTCTAGATATTCTCCCGAGAAGTTCACGCACGCCTCCTTGCCGATTCCTGTTGGAGGGGCTGAGGACGGAAGCTACGAAATCGTACACATATGTAAATAATGATATGTCACTATGTTGTTGAATGTGGATGAGTTTTGCGGTATAAATGGAAGACATTTTTGGACTGTCACAGCCAACAAATGCTCACCCTTGTGCATAGTACCCGGATTACCAGTCGATCTTTCAGATGCTCGATCGAGTCGGAGAGTAAACAAAAAGAAATGGCCTAGCAATAGACAGATTGTATGAGTATAAGCCTCGAGTGGAGATCGTCACGCATTGTAAATATGTCTAGAAACTCGCGCAGAGTCTTTGTCTTCATGTACAAATACTCAGCGAATCTCAGCTGCAACACTCCCCACAGAGTCCCGGAGACTCTTTCGGACGCCGGACCGGCAACGTGTCCGGCTAGTCTGGACGCTTTCGGTCCCTGTCGAAAAATCCGTACTTAGACCCTCCAACTTGAAACAAGCAGAGCCTGGAGGCAGCTCGGGGGTCCGGGAGGAACGCTCGGGCGATCGACGCGACGGGACCAAGGTAAAGGAGTGAGCGAATACGCGACGGTCACTACGACGTCGAACGCTGTCAAAAGCGGAACCCACCATTGGGACAACCGCCGAATCGGGCGAAACCCACTCGAACTGGGTACCCTCACACACACAGGACGTCCGAGCATGGGAGAGCATTCCGCAGACGAGGTGAAGCCGAGCGATCGACTCGGAAACTGGGCAGAATCGGTTAGGGCTTGCCGGAACGTGTACAGACGAAAAACCGTGACGATGCGTGTACATAATGTTCAACTAGATAGACGTTACTTGAGGATGTGATCAATAAATCGAGTGCTACTTAATGATGTCTGGTCCATTTATTTTTCCCTCCTGAAGGATCGTCGGTGGTGTGCGGCGAGGGGGTTTCGGGGGATTCGAGGGGGAGGGGTACTGTAGCGTCGGGAATCCTCCCCGAGATAAAGTTAGCGAGGCGATTTCAGCGGTGTTGCTTCCCCTGATCGTTTCGAGTATTCCTCGCGCACCCCGACGGTGCACCGCAGTCGTGGATTTTAGCGACTATCCGGACTTTCCGGGGAAACCCTCTCCCGACGGAGAAGGCTCAGTACATTAGGACGTGCATTCCGTTGCCATCGGTTTTCCTTCACGTCTCGGATCTTGCTTCCGAGGGGGATTTCCCCCAGGTGCCGGAGAAAATCCGAGAGTCGGAGAAGTGTGACCGAGGAAACCCCCAAAATTCTCCCGACGGAAAGCCCTCCCCCAAAAGACAGCTAATGAAAAATCGGTTTCCGATCCGTCGTTCCAAGATCCCATCTTCCACGGCGAGATCTCAGCGGGCCCCGCGGATGCATCAAGTGCTCATCGCAGTAAATCGATTCCACTGTTCTGCGAGAGGGAGCCGGCGAGTTCGGAGAGGGAATCAGTGTTCTTCCGAAAGTGAGCGCCCCTTGTTCATGCGACCGAGCAAACATGGCTTGCAGTTCGATCATCCGTCCGGAGAACTGTAATGCTTGAGCTGAAACTTGTGAGTATACTCACCTGGCTCTGCATTTATCCAGCGGAGCGTGAGTTCACGTAGCGTACGCAGGGCTGTGACGGCAACAGTTACGCTTGACGCTCAGGTGAGCTGTCGGAATGGTCCGTGATACAATAAAAACAATTTAGGCGGAATTCGGTGCACCGAAGCATCGCGTCGGCTCTCTCGCATGACAGCGATCTCAGCTCGAAATTCTCGTTGTTGATCGTGTCGGTCGAGGAGTTGTCGTCAACAACACTGCCGAGATTGTTGTTGCTGACGCCGCCGCTGCTCTTGTTGATGGCGAGCTTGATAGGCTACGTCTCGCCGCTCCACATAGTAGGTTCAATATAATTTGACAGGGGATCCGATGTGTTGACGCGTCTCCGTTCACCCGACGGCTTTGTGCAGGAGCGGGGCAGACGTGTGGCGACGGCTGCCTGAAAGGGACAGCGAATCCGCAGGAAGGCGGCGGCGGTCGGCGCCGACCGGCGGCGTAAGGACAGGGAAAGCGGATCGAGAAGACTTTCTCAGTGGTGGTGACCACGGCGGCCGCAGCAGCAGCAGCAGAATCCACCGGACCGTAGAGCACTGACTGGCCTTGTGTCCTTTTTTCCTTCCGGGTTCCTCCTCGTGTGTGACGGAGCCATTGTCAAAAAGTCTTTAGCAGCTCCCTGAAGGCGATCACAGAAGGTGAACGAAGCGGAGAATCCTCACTGTGGCAGGCGACATCAACGGACTAAACACCACTCTTATCTCTGACACCATTAAAATGGTTTCTGCTCTCCCGTCCAGAGTAGTGAACTGTTCTTGCGCGTTGATTCGGTGATGACAGCAGAAAAGCTCATGAATTGAAAGGCGAAGCGGAGGAGCAGCCTTCATGTACCCGCCAGTCGGACCGACCGACCGACCGATCAATCAATCTGAGTGAGGAACAGTGAGGGAACGAACATCCCATTTCCAAAGTAAGTAACAATAATGAGGAATTCTGTGGGACCATGAAGTTTCCGGTGGAGACATGCTGGCTCCCGCTCCCTGCCCCGCTCTTCGGGACATTCTAGATCCAATCATCCCACCACAGTAAATAGGCCTTGCGTTGGACCTCCGTCACAGTCGCCCTTCCACATAATAATGTCCCTCCCTTTCCAAATATGAGAAATACGGAAAAAGGTCGTGCGAAAGGAGTTGAGGGGCGAGATTTGCACCGAGCGAGACTGCGTGGAGGGTCAGGACGAATGCCGCGAAGAATTCCGGCCCCCACGACAGCATCAGGAGCGAGAGCACGAAAAAAAGCGCCAAGTTCCGAAGGACATCGCGTCTCGTCTTCGCTCGACAGGTTCTCCTGCTGTTCTCCTCCTTCCCTTACTCCGATTCGGCCCCTGAATTGATGGGACTGTCCATCGTCGATCGTTCCGCGTTCCAGTGGAAATTTTGATACCCCGGCCCCGGTGCGCACGACACCCCTACACACGGCCCAGGCCGCGTCCCAATTATGAAGAGTTCGCTGTGAAAAGCACATGACATCGTTGGACAAGGACACGATGTCGATCGCTGTGCATACGCTCTTCTACTTCTCACGTGCACATGGCGTTCCGCGTATCCTGCGCACGGGTCGCGGTACAACGGAATCCCGGCCGATAAGGCAGCGTCCGGAGCAACAAACCGAGCTGACATCGGTGTTTTGCGACTTCAGAACTCAGGACCGCACACAAAGGACCGCAGTGCCCCGCCAAGGAGCCGGCTATCTCATAGATTCGTTTCCCGGAGTCTTGAGCTCAAAGGAAGCGAGACGTGGACACTCCGGTTGCTATCACAGAACGCGATCTCGCACGCACAATTAGAGTTGCTGGGTTAGACCGCAGTGTGGCTTATGCCCGCGAGCTCAGAACGATGTCGTCGCAACATCGGAAGGCCGTCTGGAAAAATGTCCAACAATACGAGACGAGATGAACGATGCGGCCCCCTCGTGTTCGTCGACCATCCTCGTTGTTGACACTCGCGTCGACCGCAAATCTCGCGGATTCCCGTCTGTACACGGCTGAGTCTCCGGTCTGTTGAGCAGCTGATTTAGTGCAGCGGTGATCTCGTTCATGCATGCCGACCAAGAAACCCATGTCGGGACAGGGAAACCGCAATAATTACAGCGAGTGAATGTAGAGATTAGGAGTTTCCAGGAGGTCCGTGGAGAACAATTTGGTCACTGAAGGGAGAGGCCGTCGCCCTTACGTTCACGCCGGTCGGGGCGGCCCCGCGCGAAGATGACCCTCTTCAAGCGATGTCGTCCACTCCGATAGGTCCTCAGCGGGCTTGCGAGAATTACCCCGTCTCAGCGCCAATGATCTCCGTCTCCGGCGGGAGAATGGAGCGACACGGAGGAGGAGAGCCGAGAATTTCTTGCGAGAATAGGAGTTCGGGGTATATCGCCGGGCGGAATGGACCGGAGAGAGGCGGCTCAGACGATTTCTCTTCGGAACGGGAAAGTCTTTGTTGCTTCGGAGAGCCCTCGATGAACTTATTGAGGGAGAACATCAGGTTGAATATGACAGCTTCCAGAAGTGAAAAAAGTTTCTATCTTGTTTCGAAACGTCAGTGCAGGCGGGGACCCTGGGGAGTTTCGGTAAACTTCTAAGTCTCCAGCAACAATGTTATCGTGACTCGGGACGTTCCGTGCCACTGTATGGAGCCAAACTTCACAGAGAGGGAGAACGCCAATATCTCCATGCAACTCGAGAATCAGATTGCAGAGATTTGTAGGAGCCGATAAGAATTTCGTCTTCTTCCAAGAGAGATGGCAAGCTTCGTCTCCCCGGGACCGAAAGGTAAACTTCTGCTTTGACGGCTCGGTGGGAACGCCAGACAAGGAGAGGGAGAGGACACGGAATTTCGTTCTGGCTCTTAGATGGAGGAATCCCGGCTTTCCGTGCCGTTTTTCTAGGTCGCGGAAAACAAATGGGTGCCGCCGAAAACTGCACGAGGCGTCGAGCCGTGCACGACCCGCTTCTAACCGTCGCTGAGCAGCCGAGAAAATACGAATAGCATTTTCCCCGGCCCAGATCTCTTTGCATACGAAGCAGACTAGAATGTTGAGCGCAAGTCACTCTCGCCTATTCCAGACCTTTTGTCGGAGCGAGAAAGGCCGTGTCGCTGACACAAGTATCGACCAGAGCACACGTCACAGTGCAATGGAGCGTTTTGTCGAAGTGCACCTCGTAGAAAAGTGAAACATCGTATCCGTTGATTCGTCAATGGTTGTGTCGATGTGCTCAATCTGCAACTGTCGTCGATCAACGACCCCCGGAGGTTCCATCGGACCCAGTCGTGCTCATTCCAGAGAACGTTCCCCGAGTTTTCCGACCACGAATTCTCCATTCAGCGTCGATGGGTGGTACGACTCCACG